CAACTTGACAGCCACAAATTTTGACCAAGAAGCTGCCACAGACCTTCAGTTATCCGGAAAAAGCCTAGCATCCAACCTTTCCAAATTAAATCGGTGAGGTGCACGCCATATTGGAACTTCTGTTCCTTTGAAGTATACGGGTCAGGCTTACGGATCCTTACAATGAGGATTCCTGATATTTAGGCTCTCCTTCCTGACTTTCTGAAATTACCATATTTAGGGCCCCCCATTATCGACGAGGCCGGGATTGTACCCGTGTCATGGTCAGCACGGCACACAAGGCAGGGTCCGGATGGCCAGCCTAGGGTTCGAGACCTTAAACCGTTTAGGGGTTTAGGGTTTAGGGGAACATGTAGCTCCTCAGCCCCCACATGATGACATACTTCAGATCACGTCTGGCGTAAGGCAGCGCTGTTCACGCAGTGTCGGTGTGGGCAAGTGCCTGGCATAGTTTGTTCTCGAAGTAAGAATCACAAGTCTAGCGTCTTGGGCCTAGGTGGAGACGTTGGCTGGAGTTTGTTTTTCAACCCTAAGGGTCCAAGCACCTAATAATCATAATATGATTATATTATACTCTCCCAAATATTAAGCTAGAAAACTACTATCTTCAACCACAGTATCTTAGTATTGGGTCCTTTGGACCCTTAGGGTAATGTAGCGGCTTGAAAGGTTGCTTCGTCCGAGACGGCTCACGGCTTTCAGGCTTCTCGAGTCCAGTTTTGCACTTCTTTAACTGGCATCGCAGATGGCGGGCTCATTCCGGTTTCTAGCAGCTGCAGTCAAAACCAACCAACATGCAGGAATGGGGGGCTAAGATAGAATACTAAGTTTAAACGCAAGGACCGTATCATTATCATGAGGACCCCCTCCCCTCCAAGATACAAGGACGAAGCATACACTGCACTGAAACTCGCATATGTGAATGGTACCCTCCATTCAGCACGTGACCGGTCTTAGATTGCGGGAGTGCCCCCCTTCACACGAAATGTCATCGGGCTTATGATCTTGAGTTTGGGGCTCAAAATTTAGGGTACTGGGTTCAAGGTGTAGTTTAGATCTTGGGCTTGTTTTGTTAGGGCTTTGAGTCTAGGATATTGATACAACTCCGTTGACAGACTAACATGCTCCGGGCTCCCTGAAGCCACTTGCTGGCAGGGCTCGTGATCGATGGCCAAGGCTGCTGCCCTGTTCTGTGAAGTGGGATGTGGGACAGGATCTTATGATTAAAGGCTCGGTTGGTGTTGCAAAGGCCGGTAGGCCTGCCCTGAGCCCTAAACCCTAAACCCTATTAAACCCTAAACCCTATTAAACCCGATTAAACCCTATTAAACCCTATTAAACCCCTAAGCCCTAAACCCCAAACCCGCCATGCCCTACTCGGTAGCTGCTTCCAACACGAGAGCCTTGATGCTCGAGGTGTACACCAAGCCTACTTTTCGTGTATGATGTGGCTTACCCAAAGGGTCCAAGTTATAGTGTGGTATATACTTTTGGGGCCCAAATACCTACAAAGTAGCTACCATATTAATGCTTGGACCGTTTGGGTGATATGAGGATGCTGCAGGGTGCGGTAGGCTACGATATCATTTTCGCCATTCCGGTGGGCCCAAAACCTGAACGAAGGAATTTCGCAGGCACTCCGGATGGAAATTGCCCGGCCCCGCAGCTCAAAGGGGCACACAAGGAAATTATTGCGGGGCTTCGGGTTTTAGGGGAAACTCCGCACGGCGATCATCCACTTCCTGCAGTCAACCCGAAACCCTCAACGCTATGCCTTACATCTTTATTTAGTACAATACAGGGCCTTAAATAATTAGCTATACTATTTTGGAGAGTTCCTGATTATATGTATATTATTGTTTATTAATAGTACCCCAAAACCCTACTCTAATTATTAAGGCCCCCGCATCAAACTGATCCCCAAAGCTCCTAGAGAGGATTGAGGTCGGTTGTTTAGGGCTTCGGGCTAGAGTTCGGGGTGTCGGGTTCCGGGTGTAGGGCTTTGGGGTTTTGGGGTTTAGGGTTAGGAGCCTAGAGAGCAGGCATGATCCGCATTCCGCTCTCGATGTATGCGCCGTGCACTCAGCGCTCGCATGTATCTCTCGGGTTGGACCATGACTCGTTTGCGGGCTGTCAGGACTTTGCTGACTGCGATTATGTGACTACATCTTTCTCACCGTGCCAATGCATATCTTTGGCTTTTTTTGGTCTTCAGGTTTTGCGGGGTGGGATGCCTGGTCATGCTTACTGTGCTTTATAGTCCCTTAGGATGAAAGGGTTAGGTCCAATGGGTATTCCGGAAACCCTGAACCCCTCGCCCTAAACTCGACAACCTCTAACTCAGCACCCCAAACCCCAAGAACCCGATGCTGACTCTAAACCCAAAGCCCTAAAGCCAAAATCCACCGCCCTGAAACCAAGCACCGCAGTTCATGTAGACGCCAACCGAGATGCTACGTCAGCATCTACTAAATCAAACTCGCAGCTTGGGGTCTTGGGTTTTGGGGTTTATGGTTCAGGGTCCGGGGTTCAGGGTCGAGGGTTCAGGATTCAGGGTTTCAGATTTGCACTAGCGGCTCGACATCTGGGGCCAATAGATTGGCCACAACATAGAAGTTCCCTTTTCTATCCTTTTCTTAACACCACGAAGTGAAAGCTACCCGAGACGCAGGGAAAAACCGTGTAAGTCGTTCTTCCAAGGTTCTCTGAACAACTGTTCTTCGGCATTTGGGACCGATTGAGGGCCTGGGGCAGTTTAGGGCTTAGGGAGTATAATATAGGGGCGTTAGTAATTACCTACACTATTTTTGGAGGGAGTTCCTTATTATATTTATAGTAGAATATACCCCAAGACCCTACTCTACTTATTAAGGCTCCTACATTGGGGGTGATCCTCCGAAACCCTGAAGCCTTCATGCGTCTTGGATCTTTTAGGGTTTAGGGTTTAGGGTTTAGGTTTAGGGTTTAGGGTTTAGGGTCCCAAAGTTGGAAAAGTTAGGAATTTTCTTAAGTTACAGTTTAGGGTTTAGGGTTTACGGTGAAGCAAGCCACTTGGAAACCCTGAGGCCCCTAACGCCAGAACTGCGAACCTGGGGTTTTCTGGGCACCTGTTAAGGAGTTGAGCTGTTCGGGGTCTATAGTATAGAATTTGGCTTCCTTACTCTACCCGACACCCAAAACCCTAAATTCCTTGACGAGAGTTTTTCATAGCCAAGGCGCTGCCTTTCGAGAGCGGAGAAGGGCACAGTCAGGCAATGCTCAAAACACCGTTGCTGCCAGGGCTTTTAGGGTTTAGGGTTTAGGGGTTTAGGATTTAGGGCTTAGAGGTTTACGCATTAGGGTTCGGGTCCAAGAATGCTGCCATCATTATTCGTTCAGGTTATGATGGTTTTGGGGACCTACTTCCATAATGATAGAACAGATGGACCCTCTTTGCTCCTTCACCCAACACTTGGAGTGTAGGGCTGGAAGCCTGTTCTAAACGATACACTCGAAACCCTGAACTTACGACCCAATACCCTCAACAACCCGAAACCCTGAACCTAGAACCCTGCTTTGTCAAGGTGGGCTTGACGTGGCCCAGGAGAATAAATAGCCAGTCATATAGTTCCACGGTACTTACTATGGTCAGAGTAAAGATAGCAACAACAGCAACAACCACACCCCTGAACCCTCTTCTTCGTTTTTTGGGCCCCTGTGACATGCAGTCAGACCAGCCCTTGCCTATCTAGGCATACGGCAAGACGCATAGCCCTCCCTTCTCCGGTATGTACATATAGACGAAAGCCCACTTCTTACCGACACGCCCTTGTGCATTCCTTGGTTCTCTTCAGTTGCATACCACGCTACTCCCCACATCAGCCCACATCCCCCAATCGCCGATTCTGCCTTCAACGGAATCGGCTTTTCGCCGAATGCCAAGGGTAAAAAGCTCGTGCAGGCATATCGAGGCTTGTGAAAAGAAGTGCGACAGCCTTCCGGTGTCTTTCTTGAAACTCACTTCTCAAACACCCCCTAAACCCTAAACCCTAAACTAGAACCCGCCTGCCCCTCTCTGCCTAGCGACTTCAGGCTGGACACTTGCTCCGACAAGGACGAGAAGGTCCGGACCGCAAAGCTTGTAGGTGTCAGTGCTTGGGCTTAGGGCAAAGTTTAGGGTTTAGGGTGTAGGTTCAAGTTTAGGGTTTAGGGTTTAGGATACAGTTTAGGGTTAAGGGTAAAGTTTAGGGTTTAAGCGTTGGGACAGTTCAATTAGAGGTTTGTTGGCGCCGGCGCTTTGTCCTGGAATGCTTGTGTGCTGATAGCTGCGAAATCTGAAACTCAGTGCTCTGAAAGCCTTAACGTTCGAGCGCGATGTTCCAACGGTTAAACCCTGAAACCCTTCAACTAATAATCCCTACCTATACCCCCCAAAAAGTAGGTAAAATAATGGCCCAAAACCGCCAACATGGCATTATCCTACATACTTCTGGGGTCCACGTAGACCATACTCATCCAACATCCCAAGACCTCAAAGAGGATCGACCTCCGAGGCCCTGAAACTCGTAAGGTCAGGGTTTAGGGTTTAGGGGTTTAGGGGTTTAGGGTTAAGGGGTTTAGCGGTTTAGGGTCTAGGATTTAGGGTTTAGGGTTTAGGATTTCGGGTTTGGCGTGTAGGAATTAAGGGATTAAGGGCCAAGGAAGCCGGGACTCAGGGGCTTAGTACCTCGAAGAAGCCCTAAACCCTGAACCCATCGACGGAATCAACAGAAAAGGTCGTCCAACTTACTGACACCTACAACGCTAAACCCTAAACCGCCAACTGGAAATTGGGTTTAGGCTCCACCCCAACGTAAAACCCCGTACCTTCTCCCAAGAACTCCGCCCAACAAGCCTTCAACAAGGGTAGTTTTCCAAATTAGGGTCCCTTTTTACGTCCCCAATATAGTACGGCACCCTTATAAAAAGGACCCCCAAAGGGACCCTAATTTAGAGAACTACCCACAAATCCTTCCCGAGCCATGGCCAACATGTTCCGTCGGTGCGCTTTGGCTGCCGGGCTCGCCCTAACCACAGGACGCCTTCCTGCGACAGGGTTTAGGGTTTAGGGTTTACGGTTTAGGGTTTAGGGTTTAGGGTTTAGGTTCATGTATACGAGAGGGTTTAATGTTTAAAGGTGCTCTGGTGCTTTGGGTTTTGGGGTTTTCCGGTGGATGTAGGGTTTAGGTCAGCCGAGATAGGCTTGTTAATCAAGGGTTGTTCTGGACTGCAGGTGAGTTGGTAGGGGATGGGTCTCGGGGATTCAGTAGCTGCGGGTTCAGGGACAGACAAAGCCAGGCGTTCTTGTAGTGGGACTTGAATCAGGGCTGTTGCGTTTCAAAAGGGGTTGAGCTCTTAACAAGCATGTTTTGTTTGTTTCTTCCGTTCAGATGTTTGTTATCATGAGCTGAATCGGCCGTTCTGGTTTCTGTGATGTACAGCATCAGGCTGCAAGTTAGAGGGCTGTAGGTATGACGGTGACGCGGCTAGCACAGCGAACGCCCCTCCACACTACCCTGACCTGGAACAACGCGCCACTTCTGCATGCCAGCCACACAGGGGGCAGCAGTCAAAGATATGCCAACTCCGAAATCCTAAACCCTTAGCCCGAATCCGTAAACCCGCCTTGTGTGCTCCGGGCAGCGCCCATGTCACAGCACCTTTTCCTGGGCCATTCAGAATAGGGTTTAGGGTTTACTTAGATGGGCTGTGGTTTGGCT